GATGGCTCTACTTTCCGAGAAATATCGAACACAACCAATCATAAGACTGTGTTTGTCTGCTTAACTTCCGAGAAACAACCAATCAGAAGACTGCCTTTTTCTGCTTGCATAAGCCTTATTAATGCATATAAAATATATATAAATACGTGTTGATTTTCGTAATAAAACGATCTGTTGCCAGCCCTTGTCTTCTGTTGTTACATTTGGTGTCGCTGCCTCCAAGAAGATGAAGATCCCGTGGCCAGCTGCGTTTGAAGAAGGTGACATACGGAGCTTCTTACGTGACTTCGAAGCCGTTGCTGAGCTGGTGGGTGTCAAGGAGCAGGCGGCGAAGGCAGTTGTCCTGGGGACGCTGTTGAGAGGCCGAGCGAAGGCTGCATATGACAGCGTAGACAGGTCAAATGGCACAGCGTCTTGGAAGAAATTGGTTGAACGACTAGTGTCCGAGTTTGACAGCGAAACAGACAGACAGCTAGCAATGCAGCAGTTCCGGTCAATGAAGCTTGGACCTGATGGAGACCCGCTAGTGTTGGCGGTGAAACTGACTAATCTACTTCGACGCGCGCTTCCCACTTTAGATGAAGAATCAGAAGCGCAGTTACTGTCTTCCCAATTCATCGAGAGTGTCCCAGACCACATTTCTCAGCGATTAAAACTGGTTAACGCAACGCAGCCGATGGATATTAGTGAGCTGGCGAAGGTGACCAGACAGCTGCTGAGCACAACGGTAGCCGCTATAGACCAACCAAAACCAAACGAATATGAGCAAAAAATTGAAGCATTGCAGCGGGAAGTGGCGGCGTTAAAGTTGGCTGATAGAAAAGACCGGTGTTTTGAATGCGGTAAGCCGGGACACTGGAGAAGATACTGCCCAGAAAGGCGAAAAAGAAAAAATTTCAGACGGTATAATGCTTGTTCTTTCTTTCGTATGAACCTAGATTTAGTGGGGGCTATTGAGAAAGGCGCTCTGTATTCGAAGTTGCGAGTGAATGATCGAGAAGTAGTATGTTTGATAGATACAGGAGCGGCCGTGTCGTTAATAGATAAGAATTTATGTAAGAGTGTTAATCCGTGTTCATTGACAGTACAAACAGTAGGCGGGTATGTGTTGCGTATCACGGGTAGATCGAACTGTACGGTCGTTGTTGGTGGCTGCGAGGTGACGTTTCCTTTCATTGTTGTACCCGAACTACAGCGAACGATATTAGGAGCGGATTTTCTGCGTGAGATTGGTGCCATAATCGACACGCAAGCGAACGTGGTGATCACGAAATACGGGCATATCAACATGTATGAGACCAGCGAGATAGCAGCGATTAAGCTGTCGACGGTACACAATGTGACAGAGTTAATTAATAAATACGATCATCTGTTCACTGGAGATGGGGACCCATACGGTTATTGCGATAAGGTGAATCATGAAATTCCGTTAAGTGATCCGAAAGTAAGGTCATTTTTAACGCGAAGAGTTCCATGTCATCTGGAAGGCGAAGTGGAGCGACAAGTGCAAGAGATGTTAAAAGATGATATTATTGAGGAAGCTGATAGCCCATACAACTCTCCAGTGCTGTTAGTAAAAAAAGCGAATGGGAAGTATAGATTCTGTGTTGATTTCCGACAGTTAAACAGTATGACAGAGTTAAGACCGTGTGCCATGCCAACAGTGATAGAAACCTTAGATCGCCTACAAGGTGCGAATGTGTTTTCGGTTCTCGATCTTCGCTCAGGATACTGGCAGATACCGATAAAACAAAGTGACAGAGATAAGACGGCTTTCATCGTGGGTCAGACACAATATCGATTTAAACGCATGCCGTTTGGACTAGCAGGTGCACCGTTTACGTTCAGACGACTGATGAAGCTATTACTTAAGAACTTGAAAAACGTGGAGGTTTATGGTGATGATCTCGTCATATACAGTCAGAACGAAAACGATCACGTCAACCATGTAGAAGCCGTGCTGCGACGCATCGAAGAGTTTGGACTACGCGTCAACAAAACCAAGTCTCAGATAGCCAAAAAGAATGTTACTCTGTTGGGACATAAAGTGGGAAATGGTGAGATTAAACCACTGCCGGAGAAAATTTTGACGATTAAAACGATTCCAGCCCCGAATTCAAAGAGAAAACTGAGACAATTCTTGGGTAGAGCAGCGTTTTATAGTCGCTTCGTGAAGAACTTCAATGAGATAGCAGCCCCTCTATACAGGCTACTAGGTGAGCCAAAGTTTGTTTGGTCGGAAGAATCGCAGAGGACATTCGACAGAATTAAACAGCTGCTCGACCACCAACAAATGACGCTAAAACTACCTGTGCCAGGAAGACAGTTCACAGTGTGCACAGATGCCAGTGACTACGCTATAGGTGCGGTCCTAAGACAGGACGAGGGAATCGTTGAGTATGCCAGTAGGGTTTTGACCCTCACAGAGAGAAAGTATTCAACGATAGAGAAAGAATGTTTAGCAATGGTATGGGCAGTCGACAAATGGAGACCTTATTTACTCGGCCGGCGGTTCCACATCGAAACTGATCATAAGCCGCTACAATTTTTGAAGACAGCGAGAGACCCACGGGGGAAGTTGTCACGGTGGATGTTGCGTCTTCAGGAATACGATTTTACGATCTCACACGTTCCTGGAAGTGAAAATGTCTTGGCAGATTTGTTATCGAGACCAGAAGATGAGTCTGAGTTGCCCGAGGTCGCTTACGGAGTGCATGCAGTAGAACAAGACCCACTAAGACTTGCACGTAGGCAGAGGTTGGACGATACGCTGAATACAGTAATACAGGTGATCACCAACGGAATAGAAGTGGATCAAACTACGGCGAGTAAGGAGCTAACCACACTACTCAGACAGAGGGATCGACTCAGAGTGAATGCCTACGGGACTCTGACCTGGCGAGAGAACGACGGAAGCTGGCTGGCTGTCATACCTCAATCGTCGCGCCACGACATGATAGAAGAATGTCACCAGCTAGCGCATACAGGCGTGGCCAGAACGACCGACCTCCTAAGACAAAGTATGTACTGGCCAGGTATGAGAGAAGACGTAGCAAGATACGTACTTGGATGTCCACGGTGCCAGCTGATGAAAGGTGACCGGTATATACGACCACCACTTCAGTCGATTCCAGTTACCGCGATAGGTGACTTGTGGTCCGTAGATGTCATGGGTCCATTTCCTCAGACATCCAATGGTAATCAGTACCTCTTGGTGATGACGGAACACGCGACACGATGGGTAGACGCCGTAGCAATCCCAGACCAACGTGCAAGAACCGTGACAGATGCAGTAGTTAGACACATTGTTGCAGACCACGGCGTACCGAAGACAATACTGACAGACCAAGGTCCCTGTTTCGAGAGTGAAGAGTTTACTTCCCGTTTGCAACAGCTGGGCATCAAGAGGATCAGAACGACCCCATACCATCCACAAACGAATGGCCTAACGGAGAGAAACAACCGTACACTGAAGGAGTGGCTGGCTTCGAAGGGCGGGAACTGGGAAACGGAGCTTCCACTGATTTTACTAACACATCGGGCTACCACTCAGGAAACAACGAAGAAGTCACCCTTCCAACTGATGTATGGTAGAAAACCACGATTACCGGTACACAATGAGACCTGGCCCATGCACCAAAAGTGGAGTACGACGAAATTAAAAGCAGAGAGGAAAGAGGCAGTCAAGAATGTAATACGGAAGCAGCGCAGTGATGTCACGAAGTCTCAGATGAAAGAAAGGACGCAGTGCATTACTTTTGCAGTCGGGGACCAAGTGAAGTGTAGAGACAGGAGATATACAGTTGGAGGCGGGCTAGGTTCACGGAAACTCCTTCCAAAGTGGGAAGGACCATACACAATCACAAAAAGACGGGGTCAAGTATATACCATCCGAAGAGGTGATAAACAGAAACGAGTTAACGCCAGTCAGCTCCAAAGATGGGTACAGTGGGACAAGCCGGTCAGTAACAATCCTCAACTAGAGGATGTAGCACCCAGAAGGTCGGAACGTCTGCGCACAAAGCTATTTGACGGGGGGACGAGTGTGGTGAGAGCAGGCTGCTAGCCGATTGGTTGGCACTAATCTACGTTAATGTCTAGGTCACTAATATTGGCCGTGAACAAGGCTGTTTCAACAACCAATCACAGCAAACTTAAATGTGGACAAATATGATTCGCAGATAGATGGCTCTACTTTCCGAGAAATATCGAACACAACCAATCATAAGACTGTGTTTGTCTGCTTAACTTCCGAGAAACAACCAATCAGAAGACTGCCTTTTTCTGCTTGCATAAGCCTTATTAATGCATATAAAATATATATAAATACGTGTTGATTTTCGTAATAAAACGATCTGTTGCCAGCCCTTGTCTTCTGTTGTTA